ACGCGCGACTCCTGGGAGGTGTCCGCCACCGCCTAGGCCGGAGGGGCGAGGGTGGGGCCGCGGCCGCCCCCCGGGGACACACCCATCCAGGAGGGACTGTCACGGCCCTGGCCTCTGCAGGAGGCCGAGGCCGGATAAGCCCCCTGGAGGGATGGAAGTGGCTTGGTTTCGTGCCCCTGCGAACTTGCTTAGTGACCTTGGGGGCCTTGTCTGGGTTCTCCCTCTGCAAATGGAGGTCCCGGTGGTGCTATGCTGGGTGTTCTGTTGCAGGCAGGCGGGTTGGGGAATTTACTCCTGGGGTTGGATGGGATCTGGGCTGCCCTGTGTGGCTGCAGTGGTGGGAGAAGGGCTGGCCTTTGGTGGAGGACCCAGTGGGCAGGGGAAGGGGAGGTATACAGGATCAGGGCCTTAACTGTGCCTGTGTGGGGAGACCTTGGTACTTGGTTTGGTTCAACAAGTGTTGGCAGGTCTGGGGAGCTGGCCAGCGTGGTGAGGGGCTGCCCTCAGGTAGCAAGGATGGCCCCATGAATACACCTGCACCAGGAGCAAACCCAAGAGTGTAGAGGAGCCCAAATCGGTGGACAAAAAGGATCCTAGTAGTCAAAGGAAGGTGTCTTGGAGGAGATGAAAGCTTGGAAGGCCTTGAATAATGGGTATAGTCAGTAAGGCCACCAGGGGCAAGGAAGGGGCCTAGATATGTGTGCACCCACACATTTCCCCTGCTTCTGTATGTAGGTTCCCTGGTTATGGGAACTTCAGTGGAGTTTCTAAAAGTTTTCAAAGTTTGCCTCTCTCCTTGTCAGTGGTCCTTTCTTCTCCCCGTGGAAGATGTTTGTCACACCCCCATTCTAAATGTCTGCACCACAGTATCCTACGGTGCAGCACACCCCTCACCCCTGTGGAAATAAGAGTCCTGGATGACCTGTGGGGCTATGTTGATGGGGTTACTTACCTGACTCCCTGTGGCATCCTGAGCCCGGTGCCAGGAAGTGAGTTTCTGGTGGGCTGGCAGGCTAGAAAGAGAAGAAAGGAGAGTGTGCAGGTCTGGGGGCATGCCCAGCACAGATAGCCTGGTGAGGCAGAAGGAACCTAGCACCCACGTGGCTGAGGTCCATTTTCCAGAACCATTCTCTTGTGGGTTCTGGGTCAGGGTATACGGGATGCCTGGCTGTGCTAAGCCCCATCCCATCTGCAGAGTGACTGCCAGCCTCCACGACTGCTGGGTCTTTCTCTCCTCCAGTCACCAGCAGGTGCACCTCTTGGGAGAAGGGGCTTCAGGCAGCAGCCCCTTTAGAGGCAGAGACTTTCCAGTGGGTTCTGGTCTGAAGGACCCCCAGCAGTGATCAGTCTGTTTGGTAACATCACAGTGGGGCCAAAATACTGAGTTTAAATAAAGTCTTATGTTCATCACAAGGACCACAGACTTTAGAGTCATCTCTTCAATAAAAATTTGAGTGCTCACTCTGTCTGGCACAAGGGGATTCAGAGATAAGCAGAGGGAACTTCTGCATTCCTGGAGTTGACTGTGAACTTCGGGAGACAGGCAATAAGCAGATAATTCTGTAAGTATATTAAAATGTGGGTGCTGTGAGGGCAGAGTCCAGGGAACTGTGTGTAATAGGGGCCCAGGGGGCTGGCTGCAAAGGATCAGTGAAGGGGGAAGAAAGTACCTGGGAGCAGGGATGGCATTGCAAAGGTCCTGAGGTAGAATGAGCATGATGCCAGTTTATTTCAAAGCCATGGATCCTCAGATACAGTGGCCTGGCCTGTGGGAATCTGCTCTGGGTAGAGGCCAGGCAGGAGGTGGCTCTGCTGGGCTTGGCATGATATCTGGCCTGAATTTGCATCCTGAGACCTGGATGAGAAAAGCCTCCATCTGGGTCTGAAGTCAGTAGTGATTGGTAAACCTCTCCTGAGGATTTTCGAAGCCCTGAGTGCTGGGCAGGGCCGTGTCCTCATGCAGGTGACTAAGGCAACACATGGCACACGTGTTTCTACAGCTCAGGCTGTAGAGAAACATGTGCCTAAATAGCTGTGGGGACTGAGGAGGTGGACTCTGGGAGAGGCTGAGGTGGATCTGTCAGACATGACCTGCACCTTTGGTTCAGTGATTCTGAATCTAGGATGGGGACAGCGTGAGTGTTGGGACAGAGGTGGCTTCTGGATGCCAGTATGCCCCTGCCCCTGGACTTAGGCTCTGGTCTTTGGGAGGAGCTGTTCCCTCGCTGTTGAAGTGTGGATTTTAAAGCAGCAGCTCAAAGCAGTTCAGAAAATGAGCATATACTGCCTGATTAACAGAAAAGTGATGCGTTATGGAGTAAGAGCTAGTCACTAAGGAGTTCTTGTAGGTGCCCGGTTGTCTCAAAAGTTCGCATGACTTTGGGCATCTTTCTGTGGGGCCCCTGTCCTATTTTCAGGGTTCTGTGGCAGACGCTGTCTGCTGGTAGAGCTGGATGAGCTTGGGGACGGGGTGCCCGTTGTCCTGTGTGGACTGACATCTCAGGAGCCTCTGGGGCTCATGCTGTCTTCCTTGTATTCTGGGGTTGCTGCATTTGTAGTGGGCTTGGCTCACATTGGAAGCAGCCCCATTCAGTTCTGAGAGACTGATGGGGCCATCCTGGGTGATGAAACTAGTCCTAGGTTTGCACTGAAAAAGGAGCCACAGAAACTGGCTCGTCAAAACCTGTGACTCTGTCCTGTGCTTGAGACTCCTTTGGGGCAGGTGAAGGATGTGCAGCTGCGAGGGCAGAGTGACCCCCAGGCCCACAGCATCCCGTCCCTCTTGGGTTCATGGCCCTGGGCTCTGTGCCATTAGGCCATGTCTCCCCTGGGTGTGTGAGCTGAGCTGTCTGTGATGTCGGTGTGAGATTGGGACCCTGTGAGCTGTTGGGGCTCTGACAATTCAACACTTAGTATCCTCTGATCCCCAGACTTGAAGAGATGTCACAGGGCATCTTACCTCACCTCTGTGGGTCTAGCAATGAGCCAGATCTCCAAGATCTGCTGAGCTCTTTCTAGATGCCCTGGGCGGAGCAAGGGGTCAGAGGGCTGCAAACGGTAGTGCCTGCTCAGGGCCTCTTCTCTACTGCCTCTCATAGGAAGGAGCCTGACTTGCTGGCTTTGCAAAGCGGGCCCTCCCTGGCAGTGGTGGCACATGTCCCTGGCCTGCCTATGCTTAGACCTCACCTCCCACGCTCCCTGCCTGCCGAATTTGTGCACATTGAGAGCTGGGTGAGCATCTCCTCTGCCCATTTATCAGGCGGGCTGTTCCTTGCGGGCTGTGCACCCCTTTCAGCTAAACACAGGCTGGGCCACCTTTGGGCGTGTTGCCTGGACTCGATGATTCCATGCCCTTGAGGATAAAAACTGGAGGTAAATCCCTAATTTACTGCAGGAAATCACTGCAGTTCACACCAGGGGTGTCGTTGCTTGCAAGAGCTGAGGCCACATAATGGCAGTCCCAGTGAGGGGCTCTTTGGCAGCTTTTCTGGGTACAGAATCGAGGCTGGCCATATGAGATTGTGGGAAGCCCTCCAGTCCAGCCTCAGCTCCGGGCCGTTACTGTATCGTGGGGCAAACCAACCTGCCTCCCTCAGAGGGCTGGCGCCAGGCCCACGAGGCCCCCAGCATGAGCGGGCGGCGGGCAGCTCATCACTGGTGCCCGTCTGTGTTTCAGGCCCAGCTGAGGCTTCCTTCCCGAGACGATGGCAGCCCTTCACACGACTCCGGAGTCCCCAGCCACCCAGCTGCAGAGGGCGGAGGACGGGTCGGAATGTGACCCTGATCATGAGGAAGAAGAGGAAGAGGAAAATGGGGAAGAGATGGAGGAGATAGAGGAGGAGGAGGAGATGCTGGTGGTGGAGGAGGATGAGGATGTGACGGAGGTGGTGGAGGAGCTGGAGGCAGAGAGGGTGCAGGCAAGGCAGGTGGAACAGGTGCAGGTGGAGGAGGACAAGGACGTGGCAGAGGTGGTGGCAGAAGAACAGAGTCCACCGTTGGGGACCCAGGAACGCCTTAGCTTTGATGGTGATGCCGAGTCCCCAGTTCTTCAGGGAAAAGGTAAGAAAGAGGAGCTGGCCCTTAGGGAGAAGTTATGGGGACCTTGGTGGGCAGGCCGGGAGGAGCTCTTTGGCTTGATGGCGTGGAGCTGGACCCTCAGGGCACAGGATTTGAAACACGGGAGCAGCCAGGAGCTGCTGACCCAGGCGGCTGGATGGACAGAAGTTGGCCAGGGCAGTGATGCCCAGTGCCGAAGGCTGGCCCCTCAGAGGTCTCTCCCCTCAGCCCTGCAGGCCTCCCAGGCTCCAGCCACACCTCGGGATGAGGACCTGGAGCAGGAGGAAGAGGACGAGGAGGAAGAAGAGGAGGAAGAGGAGGAGGATGATCTCCTGACATCTGGGTCTCAGGTGAGCTGCCCTCTCCCTTGGGACTCAGTTAACCAGGCCGAGTTTCCCCAGGGTATTGGCACCTGCTATCCGGAGACCCCTGTTGGCAGGGCACTGGTGCTGTGGTTCTCAGGCAGAGCCCAGCCTGTGAGCCAGGACAGGGCTGCAGGAACAAGCCCATGGCTATGGTTCTGCTCTCCTGGGGCCTGACACTCTCCAGGACCCTGGAATGTCCCAGTCGTGTTGACCACCACGCACCCACCTGCTCCGCGCTCTTCTCTGTCAGCCCTGGCTCTCCCCCAGGTCTGGGCTGTGCCTCTAACTGGAGTGCTTGTCACCTGTCCAAGCTCTGGTTTCCTGTGGAGTCCAGTCAGATTAGGCACCAGTGCCCCCACTCAGTTTAGTTGGTGCCACTTGCCCAGCCAGGTGTGGGCCCTCACACCGCTGATGTGACCACCAACTGGAGGCAGACAGTGAGGTAGGAGGGCTGAGGTGGCCACACAGCACAGCCCTGGGGTCTTGGGCTTCGTTGTCCCCTGACTCAGGTGTGAGTCCCCACTCTGCTCTGTCTGATTCTCCCTCTCTGAGCCTGAGTTCCTTATCTCTGGATGGGAATGGGTGCCTCCCAGGGCTGTGGCAAGGCCTGGAAGCCCCTAGTTCTGTCAGGCATTTGTAGGCCTGCCAGTAATGGGGTGTTGGGCTGTGTCCCTATGAATGCCATGTTGAGGGCAAGGTCAGTTCCCACTGAACTTATCTCCTGCCTCTCGCCTGGGGCAGCATAGGGCAGTGGCCAGGGTTCTTTGTTTTCCAGGGGCTGGTGACCTTTGAAGACGTCGCTGTGTATTTCTCCTTGGAGGAGTGGGAAAGGCTAGACATGGAGCAGCGGGCACTCTACAAGGAAGTCATGCAAGAAAACTATGGGATTCTGGTGTCCTTGGGTAAGCAGAGCCTTCTGTCAGCAGGAGGCATCCTGGTGTGATGGCTGCCAGGGGCTTAACTGTCTGGGAGGGTGGTTTCTGGAGCCCCAGGGTCTTGAAGCGGGGACTGGGGCCAGCCCACCTCCCAGGGAAGCCCTAGGGCCAACCCAGCTTCTGGGTAGGGGCACGTCCCAGGGATTTGCCAGCCCAGCTCTGGTCTCTGCTGTGTACTCCTTAGAGGCCTCAAGGGGTGGGGAGTCAGGTGACAGGAGAGGGGTGGGCACCCTGCAGAGAAAGTGTGGAAGGGGCTTGGCGAGAGAGCTGGGGGTCAGAGCCAGGTTCTAGAGAGCAGGGAGTGTGGAATTTCCCAGCGGAGCCAGGGAGGTGGGAAGGCTGGTCCTGGGAAGGTGGAGATGAGGAGAGGGTCCTGAGCAGCCTGCGGTGACAGGGTGACAGTGCTGTGCGGGCGATCCCTGCAGCTGCCGCGTACTTTTTTCCGGGGCAGGATACCCAATCCCCAAGCCGGATCTGATCTTCCGGCTGGAGCAGGGAGAGGAGCCTTGGGTCCCAGATAGCCCCCGTCCTGAGGAGGGAGACATTGTCACTGGTGTCTACACAGGTGAGTGTGAGATGGAGTCTCTTGGGGTTTCCGTCGGCCATGGGCCCTCACCTTCAATCTCTGCTGTGGCGTCGGTGCTGCTGGTCTGCGCTGTGGGATGGGCTGCACCAGGAGCTCACCTCTGCCTCTGTAGGCTGGCTCCTCTTGGTTCCAGTCTGCGGAATCCCGAGGGCCGGGGAGCCTTTAGAGAACCTCAAGGTTCCTCTTACGAGTCTTTCAGCATGATCCACTGTCCCTGTCTTGGAGCCTCTGATGGTTTTTTGTATGTGAGGGCCGGTTGTCAGGAGGCCAGCTGAGACGGGCCAGGTGAGGGGCAGCCCGTGGGTCCCGGAGCGCTGGAGCTGCCTTCCAGTTCCTGGACTTGAATTACTTCCCCTGCCGTTTGGCCAGCTCTCACCCTGGAAGGCCCAGGGTCAGGCCTCTGGCCTGGGTGGGCAGCTCTGGACCTTCCAGAGCGGAGATTTTCGAGGGAGGCATACAGAAAGCCTTCAGGGTGGTGGACTTCTCTGGAGACCTCGGGCCTGGCTCCGGCTCTTCCTTCACTTCTCAGGGCCTCACTTGTGCTCATCTGGAGAATAAAGAATGTGAACAAAACCTGTAGTTTCCCACCTGAGGCCATCAGACCATTGGTTCCATGGAGATGCTCCGTGAAGAGCTATGAGCTGTTCCCAGTGTTTCAGAAAGGCCAGGGAAGGCCCTTGCACAGAGCGTGTGTTTGGCTTTGGGCTGGAGTGATGCCAGCCTAGCAAGGGGCACTGGGTGTCTCATGTGCTTGGACAGACATCCCTGGACAGCTGGGAATAGACATTTTAAATAAAATACGGAGAAGCACAGGCAGCCCCAAGCCTACACACGTGCTCTTAAATTTCCCTGTGTACTTTTTGTCCTTGTAACAGCCCTGTGACACAGCAGGGGAGGGCTTGTTGGGCTCACTTTACAGATGAGGAAGTCGCCTTTTAAAGTAGTGATTAAGTGACTTGCCCACGGCGGGCTTGGCCTCAGGGCCCGGGCCTTCCCACTGTGTTGCAGGCTGGCCTTCCTGCCCCAGGTCTCCATGACTCTCGTGGACTCTCCTGGCCTTCAGGATGGGGAGGGCTCTGGCTGGCAAGAAGTATTGCTGCTGCCTCCAGGCTGCGACTGGGATGTAGGTGATGTTTCTCAGAGGGTCTCAGTGGGAGGTGTGCCCTGTTCATGGGCACAGCTCAGACAAGCCACCTGGAGATGAAGGGGCTATAGGCCTCCGTTGGTCAGTCTCTCAACACATGGTCTGGATGTGCCCCCTTTTCTGTGCTTCTTGGAGGGTCCCAGAGCAGATCCTTTTGCAGGCCCGAGCCTAGGTGGTCCCCACAGTGTGCCCCGTGAACCTGGCTGGGGTGTGGCAGCTCACTGAGGGGGATGGCTAGCTGGACCAGTGCCCCCTGCCTTCCCCTGTGGCAAGACTGGTGAGCCTGGAATGGTCTCCCATCCCCTACCCTTGCCTCGACCGTCTGTGGGGCCTGGCGGTGGGTGCAGGAACCAGGCAGGGTCTTAGCTAAGTCACCTGTCTCCTGGGAGCGGACGCAGTAGCACAGGCTGGAGTTAGCTCAGGCAGAGTGAATCTACCTAAGATCTTCCTTCTCAACTGTCCTTTTGCTGAATGCCTCCCTCCCTTTTTCTCCCTGCATTCATTTCTGTGCCACTGAGCGAGTTAAGAATTGAGAATTGCTGGGTCTAGGCAGGACAGACGCCACTCCAAGCCCAGCAGAGTTTCTGTATTTCTAGATTGTGGTCTTGCAAAACACAGGTGTATTCCTTTCTTGTGCTTTTTGACAAGTTGGGCCACATATAAGGTTTGGACTCTGGCCAAATTCACCCACTCAGGTGCCTTGCCACCTATTGAGTGCTGGCTTGAAGCCGCCTTGCTCCGGCTCCCCTCGGCCACCACCTCCAGCTCACTGGTCCTCACTCTCCTCACCTCTGCCAACCCACCCATCTCCTGCCACCTTTCTCCTCACCTGGCTTAGATGGCAGAGACGCCCTCCCTTGCAAATGCCCAGTGTGGTCACCTGGCAGGTCCCTGCCCGTGGCTGAACCCTGTCTCCTGCGGCTGACTACAGACCTCCCAAGGACACTGTCGCCGCCTGGGCCTGGTGGGCTGGCCTGGTTTCCTTGCTGTATTGGCTTTTCTGCTTACCAGGATGGCCCTTTTATTAGTACCGAATAGGGCACTTACCAGAGGTGCTGTGGGGGCCCTAATCACAAGGCCACTGGTCAGCCTCTGGGAGTATCACTAGGCTCAGAGCTAATCGTCTCCCAGGGTCAGGGTCCTTGGGAGCAAATGTCTCAGGGAAATCAGATGCCCACTCCCCAGGATCCATTTCTCCACTCTCCCCTGGGAGTTCTGGAAGAAGCAGTTATGTTTGACCTTCAGGGCCACTGTTGAGAAAGCCTTCCCTTCCCACCCCCAATTTGTCAGAGCATCTTCTCTGCCCCAGCTCCAGGCTCATGAGTAGACTGTTGAGTCCTCAGCTTGGATCTAAAACAGATTTGCATCTGGGAGCTAGAAAACTTGCAGGAACCCTGTCCCCACTGCAGCCTAGAGTAACCCCTACACCAGACACCTACACTCCAGGGCCCAGACTTCCAGCCCCTGAGCACTTTGATGACAGAAGACAAATGAACAGACCCTGGCCTCAGGGCAGGCTGGTGTCCCTCTGGGGCCCTGCTACTTCTGGAGATCTTGTCTCGGGGTGCAGCCAGCTCGGCCCAGGGACCTAGATGGCCATACTGTCCCTCACTCAGTGTCAGTGGTGCCTCTACCACCTTGCCCTGTGTTGAGTATCTTCTCATTCTTGGACAAGGGGCCATGCCAGCTCCAGAGCTAGGGGTGAGGTCCCCAGGTCACCTCCTAGGATCAGCTCCCTCTCCAGCGCTCAGAGGCTGGGGGTGGGGGGCTCTCCAAGTGGGGGGTTCTGCTCTCAGACCCCAAGGAAGAGGTGTTGTGGGTGAGTTGTTGGGATTCCGAGTAGCTGAGGTTTTTGGATGGTGGGCCCTCATTTGGCCTGGGTGTCCGCTTCTATCTAGCAAGAGCTCACGGACCCTTGGTTGGGTGCTGGGATGCATTCATCCCACTAAGACATTGTACTTGTTCCCCAGCTTGAATTCCCCCTGCTTTAGGGAGGCTCTAACTAAAACTACTCAAGACTCTCACCAGTCAGAGGGAAATTCCTTTCTGAGACTCACTGAAAGAATTTACAGCTAATCTGACCATGGGCCAAAACTACCTGCCCCTCCACCAGTGCCTCTCCGCCCCACCCCTCAGGGGTGCTCCAGCCTTCACAGTGAGGAGCTGGACCTTCCCTGTGCTGTTCAGCCACTTCTCATCACTCACTCTCCATGGGAGGCAGTTGGAGGTAAACTCAACTTGGTAACAGGAAATCTTTGTCCTTTATTTAAAGCTTTTTTTGCTGTAATAGTATATTATTACTACCTGTAGAAAACTTAGGAAGTATTGCCAAGTGTGAAAAAATAATCCATTTTTGTATTCCCTCATACATTTTTTTTTTAGTGGAGGTGCTGGGGATTGAACCCAGGACCTGGCACATGCTAAACATGTACTCTGCCACTCCCCTCTGTTTTCTTGAACAGCAGAAATCATGCCTGTGCAGTTCTGTGCCCAGCTTTATTTCACTAGGCGCTGTGCTGTGTTTTCCCATGTGACCCCTCACCATGTATGTGGAATGCCATACAGAGCACAGGATGAGTGCTGAGTTGGGATGGACAGTCCTGGGCCCTGACCTCTCCTCAGGGCAGGACTCAGTGATCCAGGCTCACCCAGCCACAGCCTTGGCTGTAGACCTGGAGAGAGGGGAGAGAGGATTCCTGCCCTCGTGTGAGCTTGAACCTTGCAGGTGCTGGGATTCTGAGGGTGACTGTACGGGATGTGGCCATGGTAGGCACACGTGGGGTAAAGTGTACCTGAGGAAGTAGGCAGGCAGGTGCTTTGGAACACCTGGGGCCTCCATGGGCCAGGCCTTTTTCTTTCTGTTCCTTGTGTGACTTAGCAACTATTCCATAAATCCTAGTTCCCTCCTGAGCGTATCGTGATGGCAGGCACATCACTCCCTCCATTTTATAAACTGATTCCTTGTCTGTGCTCTGCGCTGAAGGGAGAAGTCAGGGTGCGGCTTGGTGGAGGAGGGACAGAATTGCAGGACCCAAGGAGCGGGGTCCTTTGTTTTCTGTGGCGGGGAGATGTTTGCAGCTCCCCCAGTCTTAGTCAGTTTGGGACTGTTTCCCAAATGCACAATGGCTCAGAAAAAGCCAGCCTCAGGGAGGCTTAGCGGGTAGGCCTAGGCTGTGCCCCACAGTTGCTGGAGCATGTTAGTTTTAGTGAAGAGAGCTGGGGCCTAATGGCCCCTCGAGGTCTCCTTGATCCAGGGCAGCCTTTCCTGGTTCCTGAGGTTGGGGGGGGGAGACCCCTAGCTGCTGGCGTGCCTAAGGCTGGTGGAGAGGGAGACAGAGCAAGAGGGACCCTGAGCAAAGCTTAGGTGTTACAAAGGCAGGTCCTCAGTGGCCAGGCCAGGCTGTGCTGGTGCTGGAGTCTTGGCTGCCTTGGGCCAGGCAGGCCAGAGGGTGGAGTTTTCCAGGAGCTAAGGGGCTTTGAGGAAGACAGACCTGGCCGCTGTATTTTTCTGGGCACTGGACCCCTGTTCCCGGCTTGGCTCCTGATCTCACAAGAACCCACAGGCCAGATCACCCACTTTGTAGACTGTCCCTATTCCTCAGCAGGGTGGCAAACCCTGCAGGGAGCTAAAGGTCTGGAGAAGGGATTAAAGCCATTTGAGGAGAGTCCAGGAGGTGAACCCAGCCTTTCTAGGAGGTTCACTCAACGTGTGCATTTCTCCTGTCTGCAAAGTTCCTCCTGACTTGGGGAGGAGGCACGCACTGGGCCGTAGGCAACCTCTGGAGGTTCTGATCTAGGCTTGGTGCTTGGAGAGCCCGGGGTCCCTTGGAAACCACTCCTTGTAGGAGCAGGAGCCTGTGAGCAGCTCCTATCATGGTCTCTCCTCACCTCTCTCCTGGCCTTCCCTTGTCGCCTTCAGGGGCCTGGTTCTGGACAGACGACATGGAGGACCACGAGGAGGAGGACGACGAGGACTTCCTGGCAGAGGTGGCTGAGGAGGAGAACGAGCCCCCTGGACTGTGGTCAGCGGCCTACGGTGTGGGGGATGTGCCTGGGACGTGGGGCCCCGACGACTCGGATTCAGCTCAAACTCCAGAGGGATGGGGCCTCGACCCCAGCGTCCTGGTGGATGGAGCCGAGGCGAAGCCTTTTCTGCCGGGCCGGGAGCCTGGTGCAAGCTTGCTGGCGCCCTGGGCCTTCCCAGCCGCGGTGGCTGCTCCCACCGGGCGGCCGGAGACGACTTGTGATGTGTGCGGCAAAGTGTTTCCGCACCGGTCACGGCTGGCCAAGCACCAGCGCTACCACGCGGCCGTCAAGCCCTTCGGCTGCGACGAGTGCGGCAAGGGCTTCGTGTACCGCTCGCATCTGGCCATCCACCAGCGCACACACACCGGCGAGAAGCCCTTCCCGTGCCCGGACTGCGGCAAGCGCTTCGTGTACAAGTCGCACCTGGTTACGCACCGGCGCATCCACACGGGCGAGAGGCCCTACCGCTGCG